CTTGGGCAGACGTGGTGTCAGCTCAGTCAGTCAGTGGTGGCTCCGGGATCTCCTCCTGCACGAGAATCTCGTCCTCATACTCTTTAATCACCTCCTCGAACTCATGATCTCCGATGGTCATGATCTTCGCCAACTCATTCTCTACATGCATGCGATGATGATACAACACTTAGCATTAAGACAACATCAACTCTTAAAATAAGAATACACATGGTAAACTACTAAGCTAGCTCTAGTGACTAGGATACTGAGCTAACTATCGTCTTCATCAAGTAAAGTATTGGTGTCGGTGCGAAAAGTGACCAACAAGTAAATATTTATAGTTTTGCCGTGTGTTGTGATCAGATGTGGCCTAGCACTCAATGACATAGGATTTATACTGGTTCGGGCAACATGCCTTACGTCCAGTTTTGGTCGGTTGGTGACTTTATTCCTGAGCCCAGGTGCTCGAAGTTTGCTGTGGGGTTACAAACGAGTAGGAATAAGAAGGGGGTGTTAAAGGCCCGGTCGGACTCTGAACCGAAGGGCCGAGAGTGACAGGGGCTCTAACGTGCGCTAAATATCAGAGCGTATACTCTGTGGTCTACCTTCTCTTTTTGAGGAGAGCCAGAGTCAGAATCCTCAGATCCAGTCCATCTTTTAGGAGAGAGCTCATCCCCTTTTATAGTCGAAGGGGATTGGCTCTTACAAGTCAGAGAAAGAGAGAGAATGTGTACGTGTGCTACCTAGTCTTATTGCCCACACTGTCAGATACAAGACGGTTGTCGGCGCCCACAATATTGCTTATGTTAGATGCATGTGGCAGGCTCCATCGTGTTCGTATGATATGGCAAATGTCGGTGCCCACAACACTGTTAAGCAAGTGTCGGCGCCCACAACACTGTTTGGGTTCTGACACACCTGGAAGGTTGCATAGTACCTATCTGGCATGGCTTGATGGCACCGTCTTATAGGTGCGCAGGGTATGGCAGGGTACGGTCCTCGGTATTGCAGTTTGACTTGAACGCCTCACCTTATCTGCTCCGCCTGATCCTTGTGCCCTCACCGAGCGGGAGTCCCCGGTCGGTCGTTCCCAGTCGGCCCCGACCGTGTCGGTCGGAGAAGAGCTGCAAACAGAGGTTCGGCGTATTCCCGATCGAAAAAGGAGGTCGGAGTCGGACTATGTTCCCACCTTGGCCAGGCCTTCTGGTCGGGGACCGGATCGGTCCTCCGGCCTGTCATTAGGGTAGGCGTGAGTTGTCGCTACGCTGCCTACTAGGCCGAGTTTTTGTAGGGAAGCAGGTCCATTGGGGACCCCGGGTTTATGAACCCGACAGTTAGGTTCAACTAACAAACACCTAGCTTTACAAATGAAGAATATATCTTTATTTCTACTAATGATTTAATGTATATTTGAAACAAAGAGCATTTAACTACCCTTATGCTAAGTCTATTCTACAGCTAAAAAAATTACAGTGATCACATAATAATACAATGAAGCTACTATAAAATTTTCAAAGTTGAAGCTATCATCATTTTACCACAAAAATTTCTACAATTATTTAACCTAATCATATTAAGAACTCTCAAATGGTAAAATAGCCACTGGTATCAACAAATATGTACACGAACTAACTACACTAACAGATAGAGCACAATTTTAGGAACCTAACAAAATTGGTTGCCCGCAGGCGTGGCCCACGCGCGAGGCGGCCCGCGGTGGGAGAGTCCCGCGCACGTCACATTGTTAGCCACTGCAGGCACGGCTACGAAGACGACGACAGTGGCACGTCAGCCACGTGTGGCTGACTCCTAGCGGGGCTGGGCGACGACGACGACTGCGACGACGAGGCGGAAGAAGAAGAAGCATGGTCGGCGGCGGCGGCGGACTCCGGCGTCACGTACGACAGGCCCCTGGCGCCGACGGCGGGGGACGACGCCGACACCGAGGCCATGTCGGCGTACGTGCCCGAGCTGTAGCGGTTCCTCCTGGACGACGACGAACAGTCGGAGGTGGATGAGAGCCTTCTCGGCGTCGTCGACGACTACTTCGCCGGTGACCAGCTACTTGCCACCGCCGAGGTCGTCCCGGCGGCGGGCGGTGCTGCTGGGCGGGCTGAGGGAGAGGAGGAGGAGGAGGAGGAGAATGGCGACGGCGGCGCATACGTTCTTGCCGCTTGAGAGGACGAACAATCGGACTCGAGGAAGCGCGCAAGGTACGAGTGAAATTTTTTAGGATCAAGCTAGTAAAAACTTAAATGGGTCTTTTCCATGTACTGCAATTTTATCACTGGCGTCACATCACATGCAGCCTGTTCGCTTGGTCGTATTTGGCTTATAAGCCATGGCTTATCAGTCAAGGAACAGTATTTTTCTCTCACACCAAACCAGCCAACAATACTTTCAGTCATGGTTTATAAGCCAAACCAGCCCAAACGAACCGGACAATGATCCATCAAGTTTTAGAATCTTGGCGATGCTTAGCTTAGCTAGCTAGGAAATGAATGCCGGATCGATCGAAATGGAGCAAGGCAGCAGCAGGCTGTAAATAATTAGATCCCTCAAAAAAAGCTGTAAATAATCAGCACTTTTAGTTTTAGGAAAATTTCGATCGATTTGAATTTTGTGGCTGCCTGCCTAGCGATTGTTTATTTACAAATAATAATGCATGCATGCTTCATTCTCGTTCTTATATACCTAGCGATTGTTTTCTCTTGATATCTATGGCAACAGCAAATTTGAATCGGTTTGCTCCTAATTGTAATATTATATTATTATTAGTATTAGGAACAAGATCAAGGGACAGCCATGCTGACGCCATGGGGAGAGCTGGAGGTGATGAATCTGACGAGACGCATCTCGCTCAGATCCAAGTGCTGCATTTAGAATGTGGCCCAGTGGGTTCATCGCTTGATCTTGTGGAGTTCGAGCTCAGCTCTCAGATGGGCCTTGAGTCTTTGACCGAACAAGGGATACCCGATCAACTGTGCAAGAGCGTCTCGGGCTGAACCGAAGCGCAAGAGGCGGGCAGGCCGGGATGCTCAGGTGCAAACAATGACGACCCAAAAAAGCAAAACTCGAGAGAAATGGTGATGAAATGCAAGCGGCGTTTCTCGATTTTCGTCTCTCGTTCTACACCGACCGTGCACCAAATCCGTGCTGAATTGTTTGGAACCTCAACAGCAGATTAATCGGGATCAGTAAAATGTATGACCCTTCATCGGAACATGTCACAAGGATTTTTAGATTGCTGTGTAATGTCTGACGCACCTTGAGCTGGACATATAGGGTGTTTTGATTGTGTTTCTCCACCTAGGTACCAAAATAAGCCTGGTGTTCTAAGTGATTTCTGTTACTAATAATGAACGGTACTTACCAACACCATCACGCTAATGTTGTGCTTCTCTCGACCACCTCCGTTGTGGCTTCCTGGCGTATCTGCTCGGGTATGTGGGCACTCAAGTTTTTGAGGAGTGTATTGTGTATAGGTGCGGCTTCTCACTTTGTTCAACTACTTCCAAATACCAATTCATCAGCATCGACTACTTCTGGTGTAGCTTTGTTCTTGGGACGTAGGACAGCACTACGAACTCCTAACTGCTCTTGCGTTTCGTTCCACTACTACTTTGAGTAGGACACCATGCACGGATGATGATAGCGCCTTCGGTGCCATTTGCACTCACTACATACACAAACTTTTTTTTAGAGACGCGTCTATTTTAGTGTACAGGTGGCTCTATCAAAGTCCACCTCTAAAATGGTTTCTAAGCTAGTTGGCCTCTAAAAATTGACTTTTAGATGCGGCCCAACCTCCTATAGAAATCCCCTCTGTTTTTAAAAGTGGATGGAAAATCCAAATCTACCTATAAAAAATACTCACTCCATCCATAAAAGAATGCAATTATAGGAGTTGTGTCAGTCAAACTAGTTTAAATTTGACCAAATTTATAATGAATAGTATTGATATTTGTGTCTTCAATAAAATATACTACGAAAATATATTTCATAATAAATCTAATGGTACTTATTTTTATCATGAATGATACTTTTTTTTATATAACTTTAGTTAAAGTTTAAATTGTTTGATTTCTCGTAATGCAAAAATTGCATCTTTTTTAGACAGAGGTAGTACTATTTTTAGAGGTGGTTGGGTTTTACAGTCGCCTCTAAAAATAGAGGCGGTTAGCTATTTGGCCTGCCTCTAAAAATATATGCAACGCTGTAAAATTTATATTTTTTTCAAATCAAGTCGGATGAAGACAAGTTTATATCAAATTGTAGCACTCGTCGAGTACTATAGTTTTTTAGTTGACAACCTTTTCATTTGAAACCATTAAAATCCCAAAAAAATTGTTTTAAATTTTCATAACTTGAAATTCAATTCTTTTAAGCTTTTCAAATTATCTTAGAAGGGCAAACGACATAAACCAAAGTTACGTTGTAGTACTCGAAGAGATCTGCATAGTTTATTAAATTTTCATTTGAAATCATTAAAGAACTAAAAATTATGTTTTATTTTTTTAGATTTTGATTTTTTTTAAAAAAAATATCAAATGGCCATGGACGGAAAAATGACCTAAATCATATTTTAGTCCAATTTACAAAATCTGTAAAACGCTTTTTTTTCTAGAGACAGGCAAGTAGAGGCGGACTAAACAGTTGCCTCTGATTTTTTTTTAAGACAAACAAGCACAGGCGAACCAAATGGCCGCCTTTACAAACCTATTCCAGCCATCTAAAAAAAGTAGTATATATGTAGCAGTGGCTGGGCTGAATACAATCTAAATCCCTCTCTGCTGGTGTACTGTGTTTTTTCCCCATACAAATTGAACATGTTGGGGTATTACTGTCGGCATGTACGTATGTATTAATCATGAGACTTGCACATGCTTGTCACGATTGTTTGTATGAATTACTATATTAAAATATACCGAAAATTGAATACAATTCCACCGGTTCAAATGCTTATTCGGACAAGTGCACAAACATAATCAAATGTGAAAGCAAGGACGAAATGACGATCAGTGGGCCAGGGTGAAGTACATGTCGAAGACGAAGACGCTGGTGGTGTTGGTGGAGCTCTGCAGCCTGCTCTTCATGTACCCTCGCGCGAACCGGAGCTTGCCGGTGCCGCCCACGATGCTGCGCTCCGAGGGTCCCCCCGTCGGGTCGAGCTGGCCCTGCGTCGTCAGCGTGCTGCCAGTGTACTCCCCGTAGTCGCCGGAGAAGACAAAGTCGATGGCCGTGAATATGCTGGAGCCGTCCAGCGACGCGTTCACCCCAAAGCCTTGCGCCCTGCCGATGAGCCGCGACGCCGGGTCCGGGCCTTCACGCAGCTCGTTGTCGAAGACTTCCACGTCACCGAACGCCGGCGCGCTCCTGCATATGATAGTGTCAACAGCCACCATTAGTGTACACATCATGCGTGGTTAGTAGTGTCAACGATGTATATATGAGACGTACTTGTTGAGGCTTACGACGCTGACGATGGTGGCGTTGGGCGCGCCGGCCTCGACCTCGTGGAAGTAGAAGTGGAGGTGGGTCAGCTTCTCATCCGCGGCGGCGGCGGCGCAGCAGGACAGTAGCAGCATGAGAACAAGGGAAGGGCACCGAGCAGCGGCCATGGCTTGGTTTTCTTCTTTCTATACGCGCGCGCTCTTTCTGTATGACACCCGCCGGTCCTTCTTATTACGCCAGCCGGGCTGACTGGGTGACCGAGAGCGCCAGACTTTTGCATTGGAACGTGACAGGTTGGTCCTGTACTTACGAGTACTCTACCTTGCAGGCCAAGGATGCATGTCATGCATTCAAGCGGCCACTCCGGTGTGCACTGACCAAAGCAAAGTTTCTTGTTCTTGGACTGATCGTCGAAGCAACCGAATTTTTTATTTTTTTAGCCCTTTTTTTTGAAAGTTTTTACAAATATGTCCTGGAGGTATGTTTTCAAAATATAAACCCTTAGCCCAGTGTCATCGATGGTGGCGCCGAGCTTACACGTCTCGGCGCCAAAGGGTTTGGCGCCTAGGTCGGGGGGCCACGTCGGCATCAAAGTAGAGCCGGGGGTAACATGGCAGCCAGCTCGGCGCCGTGGATCTTGGCGCCGTAGATCTTGGTGCAGAGTTTGGCACCATAGATTATGGCGCCGAGCCGGCCTTACAGGTGGGTCCTTTTCTTTCTCTCTTCCTTCCTTTCCTTTTCCTCTCTTCCTTTCTTCTCTCTCGCCCGACGCCTCCCGCCGCCATGCCCCGCGCCCCCGTCCCGGCCGCACTGCGCCGCCTGGCCGCCCCGGCCGCCACGGCCGCGGCCCGGCCCGGCGTCCGCGCCTCGCGCCCCCGTCCCGGCCGCGCTGCGCCGGCCGGCTGCCCCACCGCCCTAGCCGCCACCGCGCCCCGCTTGAGGCGGCCTCCCCCGCGGCCGACCGGCCAACCGCAGCCGCCGCGGCATCGCGCCCTGCCCGTCCCGCGGCGCTGGGCCCAGCGCTGCCTCTCTGTCCTCCACGTCCGACCGGACGCGTAGGTTGTTCTCCGCCACCCCGTCCCATGGCCCTCCACTGCGGCCGGCGCCTCCTCCTGCTCTCCACCGCGTCGTGCACTGCCATCGTTGGACAGGTAAATTTTGTGTATATGCAATGTAGTTAGATAGTGAGGTTGAATTTGTGGTGTAGTAGTTAGTTTACTGATGTACTTAGGATGGTAATGTGGTAACCTATTAAGTTTAATTAGTTGGTGATCTAGAGATTAGGTGATAACCTAGTTAGACTATTTACTTACTTAGTTAGCTATCTACTTAGTTATGATAACCTATTTAGTTTAATTAGTTGGTGATGTAGTGATAATAAGGTGATAACCTAGTTGTTGGACATGTATGGAGCTAGCTATTATGTTATTTGCAAAGCTAGCAGTTACCTAGTATGTAGTTGTTGGCACGTAATTTGGACTAAACGAAATATGTTTGGATTTGTGTATGAAATAGATGGACAACCTAGTGAGCATATATTATGGAGGCACTGTGAGAAAGATATCACTATGGATATGTTGAGTTTGTTGACATGCAAAGCATACCTGTTGTCGGGGACCTAATACCAGGATACCCCAGAAGGCGGAACCAATAACCATCGAACGTTAAAAACTTCTGGACGGAGAAGGGCACCGCTGCGTTCCTTGCCCGAATGACGAAAGTTATGTTTCGTCTTGCCCGACGCCTCTGGACCAACCCCGCCTCGCCCGAGGGCAAAAGGCCCCGAGGGCAAAGGGATGGCCTCCGTCTTGCCCGACGCCTTTGGACCAGCCCCGCCTCGCCCGAGGGCAAGGGGCTGGCCACCGTCTCGCCCGACGCCTTTGGGCCAGCCCGCCTCGCCCGAGGGCAAGGGGCTGGCCTCCGTCTCGCCCGAGGGCTAAGGAATACACTCCGCCTCGCCCGACGACCAAGGACGAACCTCGCCCGATCGATATCCAAAGGCTGGTTTTATCTTACCTGATAAACTTCTCTCCCGTCCCCTCATGATGACAGTGCAAATTGCAAGACAAGACGTTCGGGTCAACCACGGCTTCAAGGACCATACCACGCGCCCGGTAGGAAAAGGATGCCGGGGAATGACTGGACGAGCGCTTTAGACCCTCCGGGTGCCTTGAGAGAAAGGTAAAAGGTATTGCAGACGCACCTCGCCCTATAGAGAGTTGTAGGCACCGTCTTTAGCTCGGGACACGGGACCCGATGAAGATACACGACAACCACTACACTCGATAAAAGGATTTGTAATCTCACGAAGGCGAATAGCGGAGTCACCACAATATGGACCCAAGGGAGGGGAGGTTCATAAGTCAAACACGGCGCTACTCCGACCTCGACTCCACGTCCCTATGATAGAGACTCATAGGGCGTAAATGCGTCTGGAGCAAAGGTGGCGAGGTTCATAAGTCAAAACAATCAGTACATCCCGCACATTCTATTCTGTAACCAGACATTCTCTGAAGACAGATTGTAGGCGCTTATCTTCCTTTCGCACCCATCAGAATGGGTAAGGAGGCTAGGTAGAGCACGGATCCTAAGCCACTGACCCTTGTAAAACCATCCCCTTCATCTATAAAAGGGGATGCGCCTCCTCCAGAAAGGGGGGGAACAAAAAAATAAGGCGACACACACATAGTCAAGCGGCTACCAAGCTCTTGACCTCCTTTCGACCCTTCCATCAGAGACTTGGGACTAGTCCCTCTCTCGATCATTTGTACCCCCTACTACGAACCATTCACGGTGCTAATAACACGAAAGCAAAGAACGAATCGGACGTAGGGACATTCGGCCCGAACCAAAGATAAATCTTGTGTCCTTTAGCGCACCATCCGAGCCTAACGCGCATTACTATAAATTTACTTGCCGGTGCCTGTACAAAACACCAACAGTTGGCGCGCCAGGTAGGGGCTTTGCGCGTTTCAAATCAGGCCTCGGATGGCCACCCACGCAATTATTGGGCCTCGGCGCACATGTGCGTTTGGCGATCTAGATTTCATCGTCACACTAGGAGGAGAACTGGCGGCCGACCCACACGGCCGCGCAGCTCTCTCCTTCCATCAACCCCGCCGTCGAGGCTTGAGGACCAGCTGGGTGATTCCCTTGGACCCCGGTCATCCGAGGAGCCCCCACGCAAAGATAACCCCTGTTTCGGAAGGCCCCCACGAGGCGCCCGACAAAGCAGCGTTTCCGTTCGGTCTCCACAATGACGCTGGCGATCGGCTGGCCACCTTCTCGGCACTACGATGAGTCCAACCACCTCACGAGCGGTGAGTTCATAGGGGTAATCGAACATGATCCAGAGACACTCTACGGCTCCTTGCAGAGGAACCAGAGTGGTCCTCCAGCTCTGACTCCAGCAAGGGGAGCCATCACCCTTCCCGGGAATGCTTCATGACGCAAACCCCCGAGGGCGACGTCCAAAGCGTCTCCGGAGAGGAGACAACCCCAACAGACAACCCCGACGCCAGGATCGAGGCGGAGACGTCAGCTCCATCTCACGTAAGGATGGAGCAGCTAAGAGCATGAAAGCTGGAGATCGATGACGCCGGGCAACAACTTGTCCGGGAATACCGAAACATCGAGGAGGAGATCAAGCGTCGCGGAGATGGTGGGCACGCACGCACCTCGGCCCGTGATGTGCATCGGAGGATCCTCACCGATGATGGGACTCTCCCTCACTTCGCTCGGGCAATCCAGAACATCGCCGCAGCAACGACCTTGCTGCACGGCCTTTCGGAGGCCGCAACATCCGAGGATCGCCGCGCCCATCGAGAAATTCGCACGTTGCTCGAGCGTGCGACGGCACAGCAGGCGGAGAGTTCGTTGTCTTGATGACGCGAACCCAACACCTGTCAGCGCACACCCTCGGTACGTCCCACCAAGGACGCGTCTCGTTCACCAGACGCCGCCAGGCAATAGGCAGCGCTCCGCTATCCTGGTACATCAACGTCTCGGCCACAACCGTGACATACACAGCACCATCAACTCCCACAGGCGAACCCACGGCGATGAAAGGGAAGGAGCCCATCACGGCTATCATCCTCGACACGGCGGGCGCTACGACAGTGGCGAGGATCGGAGCCCGAGCCCTAGCCTGCCGGGCCCTCGGGCCTTCGGCCGACACATCCTCAACGCTGCGTTCCCCCCGAGGTACCGATCGCCCACCAATATCCTAAAGTATTCTGGAGAATCGAACCTCGGGCTTTGGCTCGAAGACTATCGGCTTGCCTGCCAGGGCGGTGGTGCGAGTGATGACAACTTCATTATTCACAATCTCCCGCTATTCTTAGCCGATTCGGCACGAGCGTGGTTGGAGCACCTACCGTCCAACGCCATTCAAAGCTGGGTGGATCTCATGGAGATCTTTGTGGGTAACTTCCAGGGCATGTACAAACATCCTGGAAACCCATGGGACCTCAAGAACTGCCGCCAGAAGGCCGATGAAACCATCCGTGGGTACATCCGGCGCTTCTCCCAGCAGTGCAACGAGCTCCCTAATGTAGCCGACGCCGACGTGATAGGAGCCTTCCTATCCGTGACAACCTGCGAATCCCTCGTCCACAAGCTGGGACGCAGGGGCCCGCAGACCACCAAGGAACTCCTGGACATCGCCACCATCCATGCCTCAGGAGAAGAAGCGGTCAGAGCCGTCTTTGACCGCACCGACGGCAAGGCAAGGCGGGACGAGGCAGCCGACGAAGGCACCTCCGACCGTCCTGCCAAGAGAAAGAATAAGAAGCAACGGCACGACAACTCGCTCGTGGCCATCGTCGACTATAAAGGTGGCCGGAAGCCCGCGGAAGGCACTCCGAACCACTTTGAAAAAATGCTCGAGGGGCCATGCCCAAACCACGCTTTCCCGGCCAAGCATCTATATAAGGAATGTGGCCTCATGCGCAAATACTTGTCCGGGAGCCTCAACAAGGGGGAGCGGGGGAAGGAACCTGCCCCCAGTACAGACGACATCGAGGAGAAGGACGACACCTTCCCGACTCCAAACAGTGCCCTGATGATCTTCGGAGGATCAGCGGCCTACGACTCCAAACGCCGCCAAAAGGTCGCGCGCCGTGAGGTCTATACGGCCGAGCCGACCACACCTGCCTTCCTCCAATGG